CATTTGCCTTTTCTTGTCCTCTGTTATAGAAGATGGAGCAGGGGTCCTCTGGCCTCCAGGCCCTGGCCAGGCTGTACTGCTGTCAGCAGGAAGGAAGGAGAGCAGACCCTGCCGCCGCCGCCCCCAGCCTGTTAATCTGGGCCAAACTGCAGAAGAAAGGACTCGCCTCCATCATTTGCCATCTGGACAAGTTGCCTACTATCTCCGAGTCTCAGTGCCCTCATCTGTACAATGGGACAATTCCAAGCTCTGGAGACACTGCTGTGATTACTAAAGACAGTGTCCGTTTGGCACCATCACAGGGCTTGGCACGTGGCAGGCGAGGGGTAGCCATTTGTTACCCTCTCCTCCCTGGGCCGGTCCGCTCGCTGGCACAGCTGAGCACACATGGAGCGTCTCCTGTACTCCTCTCTGCTTACTTGCTCTGCCACTTGTACCACCCCTGCTAGGAGCACCTTTCCAACCCAACCAACCAAAAACAGGTTTGCAAATGTTTCATATAATAGACTGTACTTTCCAAAACTAGCCCCAGCAATCTTCCCCCTCCGCTTAAAGCGAGGCAGGCCTGGGCCAGCTCTGACTGACAGAGTATGGCAGAAGTGATGCTGTTCAACCTTGGCGGCAAGGTCAAAAAAGGATGCAGCTCCTGCCCGGCTCTCGCACTCTCTGGGGACACCCAGCCACCATGCTGAGGAAGCCCAGGCCACAGAGGGAGGCCAACGGTAAGTGTCCGGGCCAACAGCTCCAGCGGAGTTCCCAGCCCACAGCCAACATCAGGGGCCGCAGGTCTGGGTGAACTGACCCTTCTGGGAGTTCCAGCCCCCCCACCCCAGCCTGTGAGTTGCTCCAGCTGATGCCAGGTGGAGCAGGATGAGTTACACCCTCCAAGCCAGCCTACATGGCAGATTCATGAGGAAAACAAAGGTTGCTGTTTGGGGTGGTTCATTACAGTTATAGTACTTGGAAAATCTGCAAAGCCAGACACGGATTTCATACCGAATCGTAATATACCCATTTTATTTACAGCACCACAATATTACCATTCAGCTCTCTCTATACACAGTCTATAGTCTGTATCAGCACCCGGTGTGACTCTGCCCTAACTTGGGACAACCCTCTTGCTGGGTGGCGTCCCGGAAGGTCCAGACCTGGGCAGCAGCCCCCAGGAAGCACACCCGTGCTCTCCCCCAGGGGGTGGGGGCTGGCAGTGACCCTGAGAATTAGTGGTTGTGGGGGGCTGCGCGCTCTTGGCTTTGGCGTCAGCACTGGTGTCCGGCCTAGGGGTCTCCGGTAGGCGTGGGCCCCTGGGACTGGAGACTCTTCCTCCTGATGACGATCGTGACAGGTCCATCAGGCAACGCCTTGATGACGTTCCAGGCTTCAAACCGTGTGAGGCCCTGCACGGCGGTGCCGGCCAAGTGTAAGATTTCATCTCCCGGCTGGACCGTCTCACTCTGTTCTGAGGCCGACCCTGAGAGGGGAGAGGAGGTCATGGATTCCGTGACTGATGGGGGAGTAAGGCGTCACCGCCTGCCCCTGGTCTCTGAGGAGCCAGGACAGCTCAGAAGGGAACTGGTGCCCATCCCTCCGGAGCTTGCTGGTGGCTTGAAAATGAGACATCTCATAAAATGGGGACTCTGAGGTTGGCATACCAAGCGCCAGCTCCCTGTGGCCCATGCTGTCCCCAGAGAAGGGCGATTTCAGGCAGCGCCAAGCCAGCGCCGGGCCGAGGAGACGCCCATGGGTCTCAGAGGACTCCCGGGAACTGAATCCTCCTCAGAGCCTCCCTGGGCACCGTCCCCACGCTCCACTCCCTTCACATGTGGTCTCCCTACTTCTAATGAGATCACCAGGCATTGGGTGCTATGGGGATGGAGATGGTGGGATGTTTACAAGACAGCCTTCACAGGACTTTTGGTTCTGAACGGCCTGGAGAAGACCCCTGGGCCCGAGTAAGAAAGATGTAATCACATACAGCTCCCACTCTTTTTTTTTTAATGGAGGGACTGGGGATTGGACCCAGGACCTCATGCATCCAAGCAGGCGCTCTACCACTGAGCTACACCCTCTACTCTTTCAAAGGTACCTGTGGAAAGAGGGCTATATACTGTTTGTGTTGGAAGAAAATTTCCCGTCTGTTTGACACAATGATACTCAGAAATACTGAATGAGATTACGAGATAGCAGTAATGATGATAATAATTTAAAAATAAAGTATATCGGGCAATTATATACAGCAAGCATGTTGTTAACGCTTTGCATCGATAGCAGGAATCCTGGGAGGCACGTACTCCTACTGTTTATTCCCTTTCTACGTGGGAGGGAACCAAGGACTCAAGTAACTCACCCAAGCCTCAGCGCTTCTGAGTGGTGGTGCCTGGGTCTGAACCCAGACCCTGCTGCAGAATCCACATCCCTTGGTACCACATCACCCTGCAGCCAGTAGGCTCATCCCCGTGTAAGCAAATGGGACCAACATGGGGAAGTGACTTGCCCAAGGTCATGCTGCCACTGGGATCCAGGTCTCTTGACTTTGAACCCAATGATCACTCCAAGTCGGCCTTCCAAAGTTAAAAATATCTTCCCTGGAGTTGGAGTAAACATGGATTCCCAGGGAGCCTCCACGTGAGCCTCGACCCGCCCCCTGGGTTCCAGCAGCTGCAGCGGGTCTCCCGTTAACAAGACCAGTCTGCAGCAGGAGCTCCCGGGGCCGGGGAGCAGAGCTGGAGGGCCTGCAGGTCCCCGCACTCAGAGCCCTCAGACACACGCCTGCACGTCTCCTTGTAGACAAGGAGCCCAGGCCCAGAAGGCAGTGGTCACGCAGCACGTAGGAAGCAGAGCCGGGGCTGGAACCCGGGCCACGCGCCTCCCCGCCCACAGCCCCTTGCTCTGTCACTCGGCGGGTCCAGCTTGAGAAGCCGTGAAGACTCGGGGGGGAGTCTATGTGATAGCTGCAGGCCATGCATGGTTTTCACAGGAAACCCCGAGTGACCCCCTACTCTAGGCTGGCCTGCTGCCCGATCCATGATGAACGAAATCTCACAATTTTGAGTAAAGGCAGGAGCTGAGGGGTCCAGGAGGAGGGGGAGGCGAGGGAGGCCGAGCTGTGCAAGCAGAAAGTCAGACTCTGTCTTTATTTACAACTTGATGGTTTGTTCCTTCTGGATTTTTGGAATTCATTTTGATTGTTAAAAACATTGCATCGAAAGGGTATGTATCTTGATTACTGCGTATTTCGGCGCCCCCAGGGCAGTGCCCCCTGGTGTCTCACCCCTGTCCTGGCCCTGCAGGCTGCACCAGGCCCAGGGCTCGGTCACTTACAGGGACCCAGCAGACAGGGGTTAACGGGCTGTCTGAGCCAAGGAGAAAAGCCAGAGAAAGCAAAATCGAGTCCTTACCGGGCCTGCTGGCCTCCCCAAAGGGCTTGGGTTGTGGGAAACCGACATGGCCCAGAAGGTGCTCAGAAACCTTCGGAGGGGCCAGGCCAAACACCCACAACTGGAGGGAAAGCCAAGAGGCAGACAGACACACGCCGCACCTTTGAAGATCCTGTTAACGGTGAGAGGCTTGTCCCCGTGCAGGGAGCCCTTCCCTCCTTCCAGACTGAAGCCCAGCCCTGCAGAGGTCTTCTCCAGCGTCACCGTGCAGACCGTGCCCTCTGCTGCTGAGAAAAGCACGGGGGTGTTGTTAGGGACAGCCTCCTCCCCGGGCCAGACACCCGGGCAGCAGGCGAGCCTGGCTGTTGCTGCCGGCAGAGCTTGGACGCGTGCACGTGCAAACCCAGGCCGGCATCCTGGGCAGCGTGCAAGGCAGGCCACGTGTTCTGGGGGCCACCAGCTACTGAGCCGCTTCACCAGGACTGGCCTCGTGTGTCCAAAGGTGATGTGGCCCACGGGGCTTCGGGAGCGGGGGACTTACT